CGCGTCTACCCTCGTCCTGGCCGGGTCTGCCTGGCTTCCCGGCGACGGGCGTGGTCTCCAGAGTCAGGCTGAGGTTTAGACTCTCTCTCTGACATTGACTAACGTGTAATAGGCCAAATAAATGCGTTTCTGAAGATTACAAAGTGAATGCCTACCTTGAAACGTGCCTTAAAGATTAAATAAGATACTATATGAAAGTAATTGGCAAGGTACCCAGCAAAGAAAAACAAGAGGTCGCTATTATCAGCGGTCCTCCCCGTTCTGTTTCTTCCCCTGACTGTGGAAAGCGCCCGCTTCTCCTCCTGGGGCAGGCGGCCTGGGTGGCTGACTCCAAGGCAGCGGGTGTGGGCGAGACCCGCTGTGGGGGGGCTGAGCCCCAGTGCCTCCCTGAGCAGAGGGGCCTCGCCTGAAGGACGGGCGTGGTCAGGACTAGAGGATGAAGGCAGAGGTCAGGGCCCAGGAAAGTGCAGGAACAGAGAGAAGGAAGCGAGGAGCAAGGCGGGCAGGAGGGCTGGCCCTGGAGGGCATGGAGGGTGGGTGTGAGGTAAGGTTGGTTCCAACGCCAGCCCCGGCCCGACCCGACCCGTCAGACTCACATTGTTGCTCTCTGCTCTGCTCGGACTTGGCATCTCCTGAAATCGATGTGATTTCTGCCTCCAACCGGCCCCAGCCTGTTCTCGGTCCACGCGAACCCTCCTTCCTCCCATCTGACCCCAGCCCGTGGCCTGTTCGGCGCTGTGCCATTCCCGCTTGGTACCAGTAACTGTGAAGTCTGAGTTCAGCTGTCACATCTTCCCAATATGTTTATCAAAAGCAAAATGAAAGAATTCATTCCTGTGAAGATGGACATGAGTGACCTCTAGTTTGGGATTTTTTAATTTTAATTGGCATATCTCTGAAAAATTGCTAACATCACCCAAATGAAGTATGAACTGTGAATGCCCTGGAATACTTTGTTTGAAAAGGGTCCTAGGAGAGATGTATGAGGGCTCTAAGGATCATTGAAAGATCTTTTCTGTGCCTTAGAGACTTGTTAAAACGGCTTTTCATTTAAATCTGAAGTCTAGATTGCTTGCTCCGAATGTTAAATCCTCTATTCTTTAAAATGTGAAATGCCTAGCGCCCCAGCGGCCCCATCCGGGGTGCACCAAGCTACAGAAACTTCCCGTCATTTGCTCCCTGAGTTTTTCAGTTCTCCTGAGGCTTCATCAGTTTGCAGATGCAACTGTGTGCTCCACTTTCTGTACTCAAGCGGTGCAAATCGATTCTAATGCCAGCTTGGACTGAATGTAAATAAGGGTAAGAATAGTACCTAATATTTATGCTGATAGAGGCACTATATTAGCACATTACATGAATTATGTCATTTAGTCCCCCTAACAGTTCATTGCAGTAGATACTCTTTTTAACCTCATTTCACAGATGAGAAAACTAAGAGAGGTCAAGAGACTTGTCAAAGGACATAGAACTAGTAAGTGGTGAAACTAGGATTTGAACTCAGGTCTGACTCCAGAGCTTGGGCTCTCAGCCACACCGCGTTCCAGCCTGCTGGGTTAGTAAATACGAACAAGAGTGATAGCATCCGGTGTGTTCACAGTGGTGACGACATGGACACACACATAGTCTTGCTGAAGTATAAGTTGATACAGACATTTGGGTGACATATTGGTAGGCCTGCCAAAAATTTTAGTTTCCTTCATCTTTTAATCATTCCTGGGGGTTTCTGGCACAGAAATACATACACAAATGTTCATCGTAGCATCATTTGTGGCAACAATTAAATATCCACCAATAATGTTGGTTAAAAACAAAATTAGAGAACATCCACACTATGGAATTCTACAGATTAAAAAGAATGACGTGGCTTTGCTTTTCCAGAAATTTACCAATGATCCATCTATGGATTTAGATGTGACCACAAACAAGTCAGATGCTCTCTGATCCTGTAGGATTTAGGTTCTACCAGAAAGTCTTGGTCCCACAACAAAAATATTTCGCTTTTAAAATAAATTTCCCAGAAGGCTCGTGCTTTCTTATCTCATTGGCTAACACGACTGATCGCAAACAAGGAGCAATAAGCAGTTGATCCTGCAGATGGTGCAGAACCACTGGATGGAACAGCTTACGGCAGCCAGCTGTTCGAACGCCCACACGCGCGCCTGGACCTCCAGCCTCGGAGCCTCCGGAGCTCTGAAGACTAGACGGGATTTCATCACCATAAATAAACACTAATGATGGGTCCAAACAATTTTTGTTGGAGTTATTCTGCAAAAACAAAATCAATACGTCATTAGCTAAGGCGTGAAAACCGAGACGGAACTGCAATGCAAGGTGAACCTGCAGGGCCTGCTAACTCACTGTAACTCCCACACTGATTTTTTTTTTCTTCTTTTAAGTAAAGCATTTCTTCAGGGGTAAAATGATCGTCACCAGACAATACCTCATTTCTTGGATTTCTTTTTTGTTAGTCTTGACCAGGCTTACCATAATTTGAATATCTTCAGTGCTTTAAAAATCAAGAAAAGGAGAGCTACTATGCTGTAGCTACTGACATGAAAAGTTTCCTGTGATGTGATACTAAGGAAAAGTGTAAAACCCATGATGCAGAATAAGGTATTCAGTTTGGAAGCTGTATCTAATGTATGCACGCACACACACACATAGTTGCATATGCATAGTAAAGGGCGTGGAATGACCCACAACCAAACCGAAACATTCTGGAGAAGGAGGCAGAAGGCAGGGTACATGCTGAAGTGGAAAGAGCTCAACATTACGTCGTGTGCTTCTGTGATGCTAAATTTGTCTACAATCAGCATGGATTACCCTGGAATTAAAAATCGAAAAAGCATCCCAGGAATTTAAAAATTATCTTGGAAGCTGAAGGAAGCTGCTGGAAGGAAGGGCTTAGGCAAGGAATGCATAGGTCAGGTTTGCAGCAATGTGGAGGGTGGGTTGGGGGAAAGCAAGAAGGTACAGGAGACCAAGAGACCGGTGAGGAGACTGTGGAAGGATCCAAGAGATGTCAAGGCTGTGAACCGGGTGGGTCTCAGGGCCTGACCTTTGTGAAGGGGTGGGAGGCGGAGGAGTGCCAGTGATGCCCGGTGTCTGGTTCAGACAGCAGGGGGTGTGCCTTCAGCCCAGGCGGGGCCCACTGGAGGACAGAGCTCTGGGGTCAGGTGAAGAGTTCAGTGTGAGGCATGGAATAGGTGAGAGCACTAGAGGAAGCCCAGGTCATGCGAGACCCAACGCTGGCACTCCAGAGATGGGGCAGGTCTCACATGAGACGTCATGATAAGCGGCTTCTCCCAGTTATTCAGCAGATATTTATTAGGAACGAATCAGGGAGACATTCTAAACAGATTAAAATGTCTCTCATGAGAAGTGTAAGCCTCCCAGTTAGGACTTAGCAATGCTCTCCCTGAAGACGTGTGAATGTGGGGTGTCTATGCATCCAATGATTCTCTCCTCTGATTAAAAGAGGGAACCCCAGGGAAGCCTGAGCTCAGGAAGAAGCTGCAAGATAACCTGGGAGGGGGTGCCTCTGTGGCTTGTCCCTGCAGCACCCAGGCCAAGCTGGATCTGGCTGATCTCCCTTCCTCTCAAAGGCCCCCCACCCACCCACTCCTTCTTGGGCTGCAGGCGAGGCACTCCAGACCAGAAGGTCTCTTATAATCTTTAGACCTGGTCATGGAGACACCTCTGACCTTCCTTCCAGTCTCCTCAGGGCTGTGGGGTTTTCTGGGCAAAGTACCTACCCAACTAAGGAGAAATCTACCAATTCATCCTAAATATGTTCTAGGCACCCGCAGCCGGGCATGGTTCTAAGAACTGGGGCAGAGCTGTGAGCCATCCAAACAAGTCTCTGCCCTCCTGGAGCTCAAGGACCTGTTCCATCAGCAACAAAGCTCTTCATTCCCCAGCTGGTGACATTCTGGGCTTTTCCGTGCATAATGGATGGTGGTGTCTGAGCCCTGCTGAGCCCAGGCCCGGGGAAGGGAAGTAGATCCAGAACCAGCTGAATCCACTCCGGGGAATGTCCCCAGCCAAAGCCACATTTGGACTGTGGAAGTATTAAACCTTGAAAAGAGTATGATACCCCTTCACTCCCAGTGCGTAATGGAAAGTAAGAACCCAAACAGACCTTAGAGTTTAGCAAGATCAGCAAAGTTCTGATGTCCTCCCCACAGTGACGACTTAACGCTTTCCTTCAAAATGTTAACTGTCAGATTCTTCCTCAAAAATTATTTTAGGTCCCCGCACTTTAAGAATGCTCCACACAGTGTCCAAAGCAAAGCAGAGCACCACAGCATGAGTGGCACTGGGCCTGCGCCCCAGCTTTGTTCTCACTTCCTCCACCCAGGGAGTCTGGTCCCGTGCATGAGTCTCAACAGCGGGAAAGGCCTTGGGGGTGACAGTTGCGGGGGCCAGCTGTTGGCCACATTGCAGCTCCTGCTGCAGGGTGGCCTGGAGCAGGCCCCAGTCAGTGTCTAGACACAGAGCACACAGTCTCCCCTCCAGGCTAGACACAATATGAAAGTCTGGCCATCCAAGCGGATCCAGGTCAGAGCCTGGCTCCGCTGGGTAAAGAATGGGCTGAGCTGGAAACCAAAGGTGTGGCTCAGTGGACCCACTGGTGTCCAGCACACACCAGGCGTCACCTCCTGGGATTGCCTAGGCTCCAGGGCTCCCCCACCCTGGAGCCGGGTGGCTCCCACACCTGGGCAGGTAGAGCCTCAATAGCTGATAAGTGAGTGGGGTAGACAGAGTGACCATGTCAAAGCCCTCTTGTTCCTGTGAACCCAGCTCTCCTCACCAAATATCTGTGGTCCTTTTTTTGCAGAGCGATGAGGTCCTCACCGTCATCAAAGCCAAAGCTCAGTGGCCGGCCTGGCAGCCTCTCAACGTGTAAGTAACAAACAGACCCTGGCTTGGCCCTGCCCCGTCCTAGCCTTGTACTTGGAGCCACCCACCTAACTGCCACCACGTGCCAGTGGGTCAATAAAGTCAGCAGTACCTCTTAGATGGACGAACAGGTGAGGTGCACTGCCCTGGGTGGAGTATCACAGGTGCCCCTGTCTTCTCGGGAATGCAGGCTTGGCCTCAGTTTCCCCCCAAGGGCTCTAATACTGCAGAGGACCCAACTCAGAGTAAGGATTAACCAGTATGGACTCACTCATGTTCTCGGCGCAGATGCACGGGCCCTGAGCACACAGGCGTCCTCGCTCAGGCAGACCGCCTCACGGAAAGCCAGGCTCACCCGGGTCCCCTCTCACGCTCCGTCTTTTCTGTCTACTCTCTCTTGGAGATTTCATTCTCCAGGCATCTTGGTGACTCGGATACCCCAGGTAGGTAGGTAGGTGGGAAGGTAAATCTGTCCATCAGTTTCTTGGACCCCTCTCTGTGGATGGCCCATATGGACCGTGAACTCATCCAAAACGGAACCCATTGCTGAGACCTATTGGTTCTTTCTTAGTTTTCGCAAATCAGCCCTCACCTGGCCATTCTTCCACCATCTTTTCTCACCTGGACTATTTCTAATTCTTCCCTCTTCTGTGGTCTCCCCACCTGATCCCTCGTCCACACTGTTGCCAGAGTGATCTTTTAAGAATCCAAACCTGACTCCACGCTTTAGAGCCCCTCCATGACCTCCAGGGTCAAGTCTGCACGCCTCGGTTCCCCTGTGAGGCCACAGTGAGCATAACACGCTTCAGCTCCTGCCTCCTTTGCCTCGGGGCTCATGTCCTACCATTCCCTCCTCTGCACCTCGCTGCAGCCACCTTGAATCCCAAGCAGTTCCTCGAACAAGCCTTGATTTCGTTCATCCTTTATGGATGCAAGGCTTGGAGCAGACAAAGTTCCCAGTCAACCACCAAAAAATGGTTCCTGAAGAAGGGCTTGGCTAGCCCCGCTGTGGAGCCGTCTGCATCCACTAACGACGACATCAATGAAGATGACAGCGTGGGCAATGTGTGAGAGACTCAGTGGGAGACAAGGCAGACTCAGAGGGTGGGAAGGGAAGTCCAAGGCCTCCACAGGGCAGGGCAGCAGGAGCTGAGGGGGGAGGAGCACTCACACACCACCAGCTGGTGGCGGGAAGCTGTTGCCAGGTCCCTGGTGCCCGCCCGTTTACCATTCAGGAAATTAATGGCTCGTCCCCTATGTAGCAGCCCTGTCCACGGTCCCCACCCTTTGGGATGTCCAGCCAAGAGGCAGACAGACAATAGACAGAGCTCTACCACTCCAGAGCTGCTCTGCACAGGTCCAAGTGACACCATATGTACAGGTTATATGCGCTATAAGGCCACTGTGGTAGCCCTGTCCCCTCCAGGGGATGTGTCATGATGAGATGAGTGGCTCTGGGAGCTCAGAGAAGGGCCACGCCCAGCCTAGGCTTTGCGCAGGACGCACCGTGGGGCTGAGGCTAGAAGGATGCTCCTCGCCTGGAGTGGCCCAGGTCTGGTGGAACTGAGGCCCTGAGTGGAGGCCTGAGGAGAACGAGAGAGGACAAGGACAGCCCAGCTGGCTGCACGGAGGCTTTCTCTAGCTTGCTGTGACCTCCAAGCCTTGCTCTGGATCTCCTCTGAGGAAGTTGAGACCAGAGTAAGTTAACCCTTAAGCAACACAGGGGTTAGGAGTGCCAACCCCTCGCACAGCTGAAAATACATGTCTAACCTTTGACTCCCCCCAAAACTTAACTACTAACAACCTACTGTTGACCACAAGCCTCATCAATAACATCAACGGTCGATTAACACATAGCTGTTATATCACTTTGTGTTATACACTGTATGCTTACAATAAAGTAGGCTAGAAAAAAGGAAATGTTATTAAGAAAATCATAAGGAAGAGAAAATACATTATAGGACTACACGTATTTATTGAAAAAAAACTCCCCATGTACAGGGCGTGGCAAAAGTAGGTTTAGAGTTGTGATTGCATGAAACACTGAGTGTATTCTTGTGTTATTACTTATTAATTATTGCATTATTTTCCAGATGAGCAACTGTAAACCTGCTTTCGCCCCATCCTGTTCAGTAGACCCGTGCAGTTCAAAGCCCTGTCGTTCAAGCATCAAATATAGTGGAAAACGTGCCCAGGCGTGGAAGGGCCTTTCCCTCCAGGAAGCAGCAGAGGCAGCTCCTGCGGCCCCGGGCTCTCTCCTGGTGGGCGGGCATTTGCCTGTCTCATGCCAGCCCCACCAAAAAACGCCCATGTGAATTCAGCCCCTTTTGAATAATTAATATCAATCAGAAAAAAGTCCACCCTGAACCCTTTTTGCTCAGGCTCTCTCCTCAGCCCCTCCCAGCTCCCAGGCTCTCAGAGCCTGTATGTGAAGAATTTCTTCACCTTTGGTTCTCTAAACAGGCACAAGAGCAGGTAGGGGTTGGGGACATCCGGGCCACAGAGTTTGTGGAGGTCAGTTTTTACACCACTAAGGAAACCGTACACCGTTTTCTCCTAAGGATCCGGGGTTTAGTTTAGAAAGATGTAAACTATAAAGTAGTAAGGAGAGAGGGAGAAAGGCAGAGAGGAAAGGAACAAAGCAGAGAGAAATCCTTTTACCTTGAGCACCTACTATGTGCCAGGTACCCTACTAGGCACTTATATTCTTCATCCCACTTAATCCTTGTACTAACCCCAAAATAAACCCCATAGGGATTATGATCCTCACTTTACCGATGAGGCTCAGAGGTTGTATGGCAGGTCCAGCCTCAGCATCCAGCTCCATCAGTGGACGAACTAAAATTCAAACAGTATCCCTCTGACTCCGGTGCCTACGCTCTTTACTATAGCAAAGCTCTTCCAATTAAGAAACCATTCATTATCCATTTCTTTTTTAAAAAATATATTTTTTTATTAGTTTCAGAGAGAGAGGAAGGGAGAGGGAGAGAGAGATAGAAACATCAGTGAGAGAGAGTCATTGATCGGCTGCCTCCTGCAGGCCCCCTGCTGGGGATCGAGCCCGAAACCCAGGCTTGTGCCCTGACCGGGAATCGAGCTGCCATCTCCTGGATCAAAGGTCAATGCTCAGCCACTGAGCCATGCCGGCAGGGCCATTATTCATTTCTGAATTAATCGAAACATATACGTCAATTGGACTTCTGATCAGCATGAAATTAGCAGTATGACCACCAAATTGTCTGATTCCCACCAAAAAAAAAAAAAGATTCTTAACTCTCACTTACCCTGTGTCCTATCAAGGATGACTGAGACATTTAATTGCCTCAACAAACATTTCTCCGGGTCTCGAAAGGGAAGTACTGTGAAAGGTCCTTAGGGATCCAGTGGTGAGCAGAGCAGAGCTTCTCATGGGGCTTACAGTTTAACGGGGGAGAGACATTAACCAAACGATGACAAATGTGACATTCTATGAAATAAAGACATAAGCTGCTATGAGATTGTGTGATTGGGACCCCAACCCAGCCTGGGCATCAGAGAAATCTTCCTTGAGGAAATGAGAATTGAGCTGAGAGTTAAGGAATCAATAGGAGTTAACTAGGTAAAGAAGCAAAGCAAGGGGAGAACAATCTAGAAAGTCTAGAGAGACCATTATGTACGAAAGCCCTGAGGAGGGAGCAGAGCATAAAGTACTAACAGGTTATGGTACAGCTATGTCCAGAAATCAAAGCTGAGCTTGGTGTGGGGCCAACCCATGCAACATTAGGAATTTTGACTTCTGCATTATGAGTAATGGGAAATCGTTGAAGGATTTTAAGCGGGATCACATTATCAGATTCAGATGAAAACAACGGCAACGCTCTGGCTCCAGTGTGGAAAGGACAAGAGTAGGCGAGGCGAGAGCAGTGAGGAGGCTGTTGAAGAGGTCCAGGGACAATGGACAGTGGCTCTGACCAGGGTGCTGGTGGTGGAGATGGAGAGGCAGAGACCTGGGAGGTGTGTAGGAGAAACCGACAGGCTGTGGTCGTAGGTCGGGTGAGGAGCCTGAGAGAGGCAGAGAGCTCAAGGTGCCTGGCCCGTGAGTCAGTAGCGCCTCTCATAAGATACGGAACGTCAGGGGGAGTTCAGGGGGAAAGATCGTGCTGCCAGTTCTGGATGGGGTATGTTGGGAATGCCAAGATACCCAGATGGAGGTGTTACGCACACAGTTCATTATAAAGCTCTGAAGCTCACGGGGAGAATTCTGCACTAAGGAATGGGAGACAACGACAAGGTTATGGATGAGAGAGCTTGCGACTAAGCCAAGGCCTTCAGACTGAGTGCAGGGGAGCTCCAACACTTAACGCTGAGGAGGACTGGGCCTGCAAAGGAATCAGAAAAGGAATAGCAAAGAAACTGGGGAAGCGAGCTTGGTATCAGGGAAGCCGAGTGAAGAAGGCTTTCAAGCAGCGAGCGGTCAGCCTGTGTCCAGTGCAGCTGAGAAATGAAGTGAGGTGAGAGCTGCGAAGTGCTCCCTGGGTTTATCAACGTGAAGATCCGTCGGTGACTTATTGAGGCTCCTCTCTGCTGAGTGATGGAGGGAGAGGACAACAGCCTGGAGCAGGGTGAATGTGAACAAAAAACGAGGTTATGGAGTCAGTGAGTACAGGCAACTCTTCTGCGAAGTTTGCTGTGAAAAGACTGGGCAGTAGCTTCAAGGGGATGAAAGAATCAATGGACCTTTTTTTTTTTTTTTTTTTTAAGCTGGAAGAGACTTTCTGAAAATTTGAAAAAAATATTTGGAGACCCTTCACCCATCCCTCAGGCATCCTAAGACCCCAGTGGAACAGGATTAATTGATGGCAAACAATCAGACCTCACAAACACCCCAACCCTCGCCACTCAGTGCTACCAGCTTGCGAAGGGAAAGTTATTTTCCTCTGATGTTCCCATACCCCATTTTCCCCTTCCCCCTTCCAAATCTCATTAGGAAGTCAAATTAGGAAGCCTCCATGAAGCCAAGTTTTGTTTTGCAGACACAGCCCTGCCCCTCCTCACTCGATTGAGGTTAATGGGATTCCAGCCTCCCTCGGGCCAGTGGAAAGCCAGGGTGACCTACTTTGCCAGGTCCTGCCCGTGGAAACTGACTTGTTTTTCAATGATCTTCATCTTTATCCACAGGACCACTTCTCAAAGGACAGCCACGAATGAACAAATTAGCTGCTGACTTGTTTAGCTCGATAAATCAAGCTGTGGCTCCGACAGCCCAGAGCGCAGGTAGAGGCAGGAAAGACAAATTCTCAACAAAACCCACATCCATCACCAGTTCCTCCGGCGCTGGAGTAGAAAATGCCCAGGTTTCCTGCAAATCAATTCTGAGTTTCCACCACCTAGTTCCTCCGGTTTAGTCTGGATGCTAGGAATTACTGGAACTTTTTAAAAAAAAAAGTTAGTTTTTTAAAAAATAAAATAAAATAGTAGAGTTTGTTGTTTTTAAGGATTTATAATCCCTTTTATATAGTGAGTCCCCTTAATTATTCCTGGCCACTCTGTTTAATTAGCATTTGATTAGATAATGGTCAGTGTTTTCGAGACAGATGGGGGGCATATTGGAGACAACATCACCCTCGCCAGAAACCCCACCTTTGTGCCCATAATCACCCAAGCCATGTTTCCCGTGGGTCAGAGGCATCTTTCTCTCAAATCAGGTCTGAAGGCACAGGGCCCTCCCTGCCCCCTGTAGCACTTGCCCAGGTCCATTGATGACCTCAGGGTTGTAAAAGAAGACTGGACTAGAGAATCTAATCAGCCAGATGGACCCGCAGCCGGATGCCTCCAGGTTATATATACAGTTTTCCAAGTACCTCGCTCAAACCTTCCTCCAGACACGCGGGACTTCAGCCTAGTGCGTGGTTCGAGCACCCTCTAGTGGTCTGGTTGAGTTTCTGCAACACCAAAAGTTCTTGGGGAGTATTCGAAATACGTGATGGGGGACAGAACTCAGACTAGGAGTGATCTGAGTCACCAGTGACCTGAGTCTCATTGGGGTGGGTCTGTAATTTACAAGGGGATAATAAGTCTCTAAAAGGACCATAAAAATTCTTTATTGCCTCTTTTCTTTTGTGGTGTTTTTGGAAGTTTTGTTTAGAAATGTTTTATCTATTGAGATCATGATATTTTTCTTACAGATTTGGATTAGCTCTGAGGATGTGATAGATATTAACATTTGTCAGTCACACTACAGGGAGACCTTTTTGCCAACATATTATTATTTCTCTCTAATTAAATACTGCTGCTTTCATTATACAGGTGATTTTAGTTGATATCTAATTGTTAGTTACCTTTGTGATTGCTTTGGCTATTGCAAAGTTGAGAAAATTAATGTTTCTCTAACAGATCAGAAAACTTGATCTTTTTTACCTTTTTTAAAAATATATTTTTATTGATTTCAGTGAGAGAAAGGGAGAGGGAGAGACACACATTAATGATGACAGTCATTGATCAGCCGCCTCCTGCACGCCCCCTGCTGGGGATGGAGCCCGAAGCCTGGGCACCTACCCTGACCGGGAATCAAACCGTGACCTCCTGGGTCTTGGGTCGAAGCTCAACCACTGAGCCATGCCAACCAGGCTGGATTTATTAACTTATTTTGGTGTACAATGTTAGGTATGAATCCCATATTTTTTAATTGCTATTAAGTTAGCCCAATCCTGCTTGTTACACAATCTTTTCTTTTCCCCTAATTTTGAATAAATCCTTCTCTGAAGTTTGTGGGATCTCCAGTCTGTCACTAATTTATACATATTTCTTATCCTGAATATTATAAAATATATTCAGTTATATGGTCTGGCCAGATCAACTGTCTTTGCTAGAAAACTGATTAAAACTTAAATCCCACATAGAAAAATGAAATCAAATTAACAGAATACCATATACAGGGAAATGTGGCATATAAGAAAGCATGAATAAGAATTTTTATTATGGTTTGGACAAATTAAAGAACTCCAATTGTATCTAGCACTTCCTAAAGAAAATTCACATATATTCTTATCAGTTTCATTATTTTAAATAGCATTTTTATTACAGAAATAATAAATACTTTGAGGTGATTTTTAAATTAAATTTGAAGGTCAAAAGAAGTACAAGAGCTCCATAGTCATTTCTTAGATTAATTCATTTATTTCAACAACTATTTGAGGAGAATTCACTGCATACCAGGTTCTAAGCCAGGAACTGGGCTATAGCTGCACACAGGACAAAATTGTCCCTCCTCTGTAGGAACCCAGCAGGGAGGGTGGAAATTAGACAAGACCTTCCATGGAAAGACAAAGACTGCGTCCAGAGTGCTCTGGGAAGGCGCACCGGGTCCTAAGCAACTGAGGCGAAGTCAGGAAACACTCCCTGCAGGACATGTTATGTAAGGCAGCGGTCATCAGGGGGCGATTTTCCAATCAAGGGTACAAGAAAAGAGCTGGGCGTAACTGAAGCTATTAGAAAATCGCTCCCAGGCCCTTATAGATTCAAATCTACCATATTACCCATCCTAAGGTCAGGCCTTTGTGCAGGGCTTGGTTGCTGCAAATTTCCTACCTCTTGAAATACTTTCCAAGGATTATAAGATACCTCACTCAGATTACAGACTTGGCCAAAATGTATTAGCAGAGAACGTCCTTATAAAACACGAGGTTCTCAGATGGTTACATCCATCCCTGGGCAGTGTAGCCAGAGGGTGTTGAGTGAGGGTTTGGTTGGTTTCTCCAGCTCTGGATTCCTCACTAGAGCTGTTTTTGTCCCCTTGGGTTGTCATGGTGAATAGTGTCACCAGTGGGGTACAATATGAACCACTAACCTGACCCAAAGCCACATGCTCAGGGAGATGGGGAAGTCATGGGTGGAGAGGTTGGTCTCTCTGGACATGGAAGAGGAAGGGTGCTCTCCAGGGCACTGCTGGACTTTCAGGGGCCCAGAGCCAAGGAGGGATGGGCGTGCACAGCCCCGCCCAGATGCCAGTGTCCCGTGTCTGGTACCTGATGGAAGGCAGGCCCCGGACTGTGTCCTCTTAGTCCCTAGGTGAGCAACGCTGCAGCTCCCCAGACTGCAGATCTTCTAGAAACCAGATCTCTAAGAAAGCTGCTGAAACCCCTGACCTACCTGCCAGGAAATGCACGCATGGGGAAGGAGAACAAGCGTAGTAGTAATAGTTCAGGTGTCAGGCACTGCACTAAGTACTGTATGCACCTTATCCCCCTGAAACTCATAGTAACCCACAGGGGGATCCCCACTTTATAGACTTGGACACTGAGGCACAGAAAGTTTGGTCATTTGTCCAAGGATACAGGCCTAAGGGGCGGTGCCAGGATGCGCCCTGGGCTTCCCTCTCTCTGCTCATTGTTTGACCCCGCCTGGCCTGCCAGCACCCTAGGGGTCCACTCCCATGGGGCCTAACCAGGTCTGGAGTCAGTGCTTTCTGGGGACAGGTGAGGGCAGCCAGGAGCAGCTGGTCCCAACAGAGGGCGCAGGGACTCCCAAACAGCTGAGGTGGACCAGCGGCAGCTGGGCTGATGAGACGAGTTGGTTCCCTGCCGAGGATTCCCCACGGTTAGCAGCCTGGGGTGTAGCCTTCAAACCCTGGCCCCTGTTACCACTAAGGCCATGAGCCTCTATACGCTTTGCTTTCTTCCCCACACAATGATATAATTCTAACCCCCAGGATTGTCACGGGGGCAGGGAAATAAAATAGTGCAGGTCTGCCACCAAGTGTGTGCTGAGCGGCTCCAATCCTCCAACCAACCTCCCCCTCCACCCCCCCCTTGGGCCACCACCATTGATCTCACACCAGCCCTGGCCACTCCCAGGACCTCTTCTCAGCGACACGAGGAGGCAGGTTGAAGAACCACCTCTCGTAGCTCAGGGGTCGCCAGCCAGAGGTGCCTGGCTGTACAGCTGGGTCCCTGCTCTCGGCTGGAGGGAATGGCTGTGAGTCGGATGCTATAGGCAACCCGAGGGCAACGGAGGAAGCAGGACCTGACTTGGATCCCAGCACCGTGAGAGGGGCAGGGCGGGAGACCTGGAAACTGGTGGTGAAAAGAATACTGACCTTGACCGAATACGGACTTGGGTTGCGGTCTCCATCCTACCACTCCACTCTGTGACTTTGGACAAGTTAATAACCCTCCTGAGCCTCAGTTTCCACATTCACGAGCTGGAGTCCGTTACCCTGTTCCGAGGACTCAATGAGAATGTATGAGGAAGCGCTTGGGGCATTGCTTGCCAGTTTTCATTTGGAAAGTTCATCTCGCATCCAACATAGCTGGGCCCACAAGCAGCACAAAGTATCTGTTCCTTCAGTTATTCAGAAACACTTACCGGAGTGTCTACTCCACGCCAGGCACGACCGTTACAGGAACTGGAAATAAAGCCCTGAAGAAGGCAGGCAAAAGCCCTGCTTTCCCAGTCAGTAAACAGCTAAACAAGTAAATAAGAAAGTAGAAAATAATAGTAAGTGCTGTGTACACATTAGAAGGATGTGGATAGGAGGGGAGCACATGGTTCTCTCTCCATGTGGCCAGTGGATGGACCCAGGAGAGGGAAGGGTGTAAACCACTCACGGCCAAAGGCAGTGGGCGACCGAGAGCCCGCCTTCCTTCTGGGCTTCTCATCCTTTACATGGGCTGGCCAGGTGTCCCTCAGAGTGTGCCCCCCTGGAGTCCCTAATGCAGTGGCCTCTGTGTTTGGTTTCCAGGAGAGCAGCACCCTCGGCTGAATTTTCCGTGGACAGGACACGCCACCTAATGTCCTTCCTGACCATGATGGGCCCCAGCCCCGACTGGAACGTGGGCCTGTCTGCAGAGGACCTGTGCACCAAGGAATGTGGCTGGGTGCAGAAGGTGGTGCAGGACCTGATTCCTTGGGATGCAGGCACTGACAGCGGGGTCACCTACGAGGTAGGTGTTTGCCTGGAGTGGTGAGTGACAGACCGTGGCCAGCCCTGTTCTGGGTGAATCTGGCCCAGGCTGTGTCCTAGATGAACTCAGTGTGGCAGGGGAGGCCACCATGGTCTCGTCACCACGTACTCGCACACAATCTGATTTGGACTCTGGAAAGTGTCCGTGCAGCTGGTCAGGGCAAGGAGAGGAATCTGCTAAAGAGCCGCTCATAGGCAAGCAGAGGAACAGCAGGGGAAAGGCACTGCACAGGTGGAAGGGGGTCGGGGGAGAGGGAAAGAGGGGGCCGGGCTGTATTCCAAAGGTCTCTGGACAGCCAGGCTAAGGAGTTCAGAATCCCTCCTGAATGTCAATATTTCTCAGATATGGTCAATACACCGACAACATAAAAATCTGGAGCCTTCAGAAAACCAGTGGTAGAACAATCTAGAACAGATGATGGTGACTATGGTTTGTGGGACAAATCTGGTCTGCCACCTAATTTGAAAATAAAATTTTCAAACCCAGCCTCACATATTTGGTTACATGTGGTCTGGGGCTGCTTTCTCCCTGTAACAGCTGAGTTGAGTCCTTGAGACAGACACAGTTTGGCCCACAAAGCCTAAAATATCTACCATCTGATCCTCTTCAGACAACAGTTTGCCAGCACCGGGTCTAGTAGGAAGAGCTCTGGATTCAGGCCAACCCTCTCGGCCATTTCCGAGCTGGGGTGGCCTCTCTGAAGTTTGGCTTCCTCACCTGGGCATAATCCCACCATGTATGTGGGAGAATCTGAAAGTATAGATCGGCAAAGGGCCATGCACAGCACGGGCATGAATAGAATTCCATAATATAAATAGTAGTTATGCTTGTTAAATTCCTATCAAAGCTTTTGTTCTGATCATATTACAATCAAATTGCTTTTGCAAACAAACAAACAAATTGGTTTTGTGTGGTATTTTAACCAGTTCTATTTCCCACTCTTTGTATGTTTTTTTTTCCCCACTGCAGTCACCCAACAAGCCCACAATTCCCCAGGAGAAAATCCGGCCCCTGACCAGCCTGGACCATCCTCAGAGTCCATTTTACGATCCAGAGGGTGGGTCCATCACTCAAGTAGCCAGAGTTGTCATCGAGAGAATCGCTCGGAAGGTACGATTAGAGTTCACCCTGGCGTTGACCTTTCCCACCTGGGGTACAAGGAGCCTGCCCCCCCTTTCTGCTCTGGAACCATGGGGTCCCTGGCATATTCCGGGATGTAGAATTCCTGGGCCTCCCAAGGTTTCTAGTATACAAACTATTCATAAATGAGCTATAAATGAGCAAAACAAACATAATAATAGGGTGTGATGCTGAACTAAATGATTTGATCCAGGCAGATGGGTCTCATCATGAGCTCCACAATCAATTACTAATGTCTGCCACGGGTCAGGAATTGGAAGCTGTGACTTCATTGCCGTTTCTCTTTCAGTCAGGTTGTAAATGCCGGCCCAGAACTCCGCCTTGTACACCAGGGTGGGCGTTGCATTTTACATCTTCCCTCACCTTTCCCCCGCCCGTTCCGTTCTTTCACGTGAGCCCCGAGTCTTTCTCCTCTTGCAGGGGGAGCAGTGCAATATTGTACCGGACAACGTGGATGATATTGTAGCAGACCTGGCTCCGGAAGAGAAAGACGAAGGTACTGCTGTTTCCCTTTGTTGCCGGTGGCAACCTAAATTGGCACTGGGAAAGCAATTTGCTAACAGGTTTTAAAAGCCACAAATATATTATACCCTTTGACTTGAGAGATATAATCCAGAGCAAGGCTTAGACTAGGCTCACAGATCCAGGGAATTGGTGAAGGTGTGACGCTGGATTATGCACTCGCAGTACCCGGCCTTTAAAATGATCACGTAAGTGGCACTTGCATAGACCTCACAGTGCTCAGGTCCCTCTCTGCTTTGATTCTCGCGCTGGCCTGTGAGGCAGACGTGGATGAGTCCACTTGGCCAGCAAGAAGAGAGAGGCCCAGATCCTACGGTCAGGAGGGAGTGGCAGAGCTGTGGCCTCGGCTCAAGTTTTCTCATGGGAGCTGTAGCCACGCAATCTGGGCTCTCGTTCTGTGGCCTTGGGCAAGAAGCTCACCTGTCTATCGTGGCGTCCCCACCTGTGAAATGGGGATAATAACAGAGCCCACCTCATAAAGTCTCGAATAGGGTAAAGCACGTATGGTTCTTAGAATGACGCTGGCACATAACAAGCACGCACCGAACACTGGCTGCTCTCATCCTATCCTGACACCTGCACATGGACCATGATCGCTGGGAAGATGGCGCAGCAACACAGAAACCCCTGTGTGCCCCCAGAGTGCCTGTGGTATGCCCACGCCTGTGCGGGAGCAGGTCTGCAGGCGAGGGACTGGAAATTAAAAGATGTTCGCGTGTTGAGGGGAAGGGATAAAAAGAGAATCTTTACTTATTAGTAGGTTGTTTAGATACTTATTAGTGGACTGCTAAAATATAAAGGGAAGGGACTGGCTTGCTTCCCTCCCAGGAGTACCAGGCTCATAGAGGCTGCTCAGGATGCAGGGATTATCTTGTCCCTAAATGAAGGGAGGGGCCGGTCCCAGTGGCCACAGGTTCCCAGGGAAAACCTGTCATGTACTCTTCCCAGATGACACCCCTGAAACCTGCATCTACTCCAACTGGTCCCCGTGGTCCGCCTGCAGCTCCTCCACCTGCGACAAAGGCAAAAGGATGCGGCAGCGGATGCTGAAGGCGCAGCTGGACCTCAGTGTCCCCTGCCCCGACACCCAAGACTTCCAGCCCTGCATGGGCCCGGGCTGCAGCGATGAAGGTGAGGAGACAGCCCGGGGCAGCGAGCGGCCGGCAGAAGCTCAGGCGGGGACAGCTCTGCCTGGTGACGTTGGTCCCTCCGACCTGGCTGAGTCCCTAGCGGGCCACCGGGACCCTGACTGTAGTCGTCAGTGGGGTCCACCTAGGGCGGTCCCCCATCTCCAACAGTGTCTCCGGGACTCAGTACAGAATACATCTGATGACATCAAAAGAATTCTTGAGGTTGACTGACCACCAGCCTCCTTCCCCAGCCACAAAAGAAAATACACACAAGTTACTGATGAGCTAGCAAACATCTCAGGACAAATAACAAATAACAAGCAGCCTGCCTCTGGGCCTTAACTCCAGCCTCTTTTCTAGAAGCAGATGAACAGGTTGGGCAAGACTGAATCTAGATGCCTGGCCCTGATTCCGTGCCTGGACCCTCTTGAGTCCTGCCTGAGCCTAGGATAGAGCACTCACTTCCTTGTGTCAGGGCCTGGAGGCTGATGGCAGGAATCCTCCTGGTGTCTCCTGCAACTGCTCAAAGGTCAGGCTTGAACCACGAGCTTGCACCACATGTCATGACTGCTCAGGCTTCCAGATGGCGCTAAGCTGATTGCTGGGCAAAGGTCAGCTGCCTGCTTTCCAGGGCATGACTCCTCTCTCTATACTCTGTACTCCGTGATTTCACTGTCTCAGAGGTGCAGCGAGGCAATGGGAAGGGATGTCTAGGCTGAGCTGGTATATAGCAGGAAGAAAACCACTTCCTAGCTGAGGATAGTTGAAGAAAGCTTACCCACTACCGGTCATTCACTCTCTGGCTCTTCCTGGGGGACAGTCTCTTGGCTGCACTGCCACAGTAGTTTTCTGTTAACTGTGCCCATGATAAGACACTTCAGAGGGGAGTGAATTTTAAGATATACTTTTCTATTTCTGCAAATATGGCTGATTTTTGTAGCTGGGGTCCATGCTCCCCAGAAGCTACCCAACCCAAAGTCAAAGGTCTCTTGTGCCCACATCAGGTTTCTTTCTGCACTTGGTTATTTTGGGGAGCATTTAGAATAGGAAAGAAGCAAAGACCCCTTCAGATACTCAGAACTCATTATATGACAGCGTGAGTGTACATTTTATTGTGGCAACCACGTCATAGAGATTTTTCCTAATTATCTGAGCCAGCCCTTTATCCCAGGCCTTGCCATCTCTGTCCACTTCCAGGGCACCACTAGAAGGATCCTTTGCAAGCAAAGATCTGATCATGTCACTCCCCAGCTGAAAAATCTGCGGCTTCTTATTGCCTGTGCGCAAACTCCTCAGTTTAGTTTACTGGGAAAACAGTTCTGCAGGGAACCAAGGTGGAGGCCTGGTGAGCACCCTGACACTCATCCAGAGCAATTTACATTATATCGCAATACTGAAAAACACATGGTTAGTCAAGGCACCCGCGGACATCTGTGCGGGGGACACCTCAAGAGTGGAGCCTCTCGACTCCAACCTCTTCGTCTCGGGTTGGTGGGGAGGGCGTGCCTCCCGCTCCGGGCACTGTCTTGCCAGGTTACGGGAAGCCTGAACCGGGGCTTGTCAAGCCCTGTACCTCCAACCATATCACACTGGAACATAATTATCTTATTTGGTTGTACATGTTCCTTTACTTAGCTTTGTCCCTGCGTCTAACACATGGGTTCCAGCTGTGACTTATTGCTGCACCGCCAGCATTGTGTAGCTTCACTGTCCAAAGGTTAGGTAACAATGTGTAGGCGCCACACCTGTGCAGGTGACAGCCCCTGGGCCTGTGCAGGCTGGCCTCACACTCTGACTTCGGCCGTCCTTCCTAGCTTCATCTCCCAACACCACCCACATATACGCTCTCTGCAGGGGTGTTTGCAGAAGCTGTTCCCTTGACCTTAAATGCAAATATCCATTACCCAACAAAGTTCACTCAAATGTGCCCTTCTGTGGGCAGTCTTCCCCAGAACTCCCAGAAGGAGTGACTTTTCCCCCTCTTCAGTGTTCCCCAGTTTCCTGGGCTTACCTCTGTCGTCATATTTTCAATACCTGAGATTATTGTCAGTTTCNGACTTTTCCCCCTCTTCAGTGTTCCCCAGTTTCCTGGGCTTACCTCTGTCATCATATTTTCAATACCTGAGATTATTGTCAGTTTCTCTCTCTCTCCCTCTCTCTCTCTCTCATCCCTGGAGTAGAACAAGATCCATAACTTACACATCTTTTTAACCTCGGAGCACACCACTAAGCATTCAGTGTCTTCATTGACATGAATAAATGGATAAATGGCAGATAGGTGACTTCATTTTCCTCTTCACTTTTAAGCAAGCACGCACACACACATGCATGTGCACACATGCACACGCGCACACACACACGTGTTTCCAACACCACCACCACCTTGGAACCAGGACCACAGGCCATGCTGAGAGGTTCAGTTATCTTTTTCATCAACATCCTGAGTGTCTCCTAGATGACCCTCGCCTTTGCTCACACCCACCCACGGGAGCAGAGCCGTATGTGGTCCAGGATATCCACACAGAAGGCTGGCTATATTGCCTCCCTCATTCGTCCCCTGTGTCCCCCCTCCTGACACACAGACATTCTCTCCCTACTCCCCACCCACCGTTTGCTCCCCATTAGCAGCTGGGGTCTTCTCTTCTTTGTTACCAACCTCCGCCGAGGCATTGAGACACCTATGGCCACTTAGTCTAATCTGCTCTTTGGGTACAAATCAGCCCTCAGGTCCCTACATCCCAAGGCCAGTCATGCTCTCTACCCTCAGGAATAAAATTCTCACCTATTTTTCTAGACCGGGAAGTGGCAGCTCTAGACCATAACCAGTCTCAGGTTCCTCTGAGAAAGAGCTTACGCAGTGTCTCGACCCGCTGGGCTTTCTGTCGCAATGGAGACGTTCCAACCTGCACTGTCCAGCGTGGTAGCCTCGGGCCTAGTCAGCACCAAAAATGTGCAGTGACTGAGGAAGTGAATCTTAAATTTTATTCAACGGTCTTAAATGTGTGGTACATCCTAGACCATGCAAGTGGATTATGACTTAAATTATGTGTAGATCAAATTATATTTGATCGCACATGCATTATGTGCATAAAGCTCCCTCCTAGCCATCCAAGTGTCTTTCCTGTGTATTACTGTGGGGTAAGGAGTAACCTTACTGGTGCCCTATGACCTGGAAAAGGGCATTTCATTTCCTCTTAGAGAAGTTCCTGGTATACAAATGTCTACCTCGTGTGCCCCCTTACACCCCCAGCTGCCCAGCTTCCCTTGAAAAGCAGGCGGTTCCTTCTCGATTCCTGCCTTGAGGAGCAGGGTGCCCGGGTCGCGCCCGGCGCGGCGCTCGGGCTGCAGGGACCGCTCCGTGTGTTGCAGATGGTTCCACCTGCACCATGTCCGAGTGGATCACCTGGTCGCCCTGCAGCATCTCCTGCGGCGTGGGCACGCGGTCCCGAGAGCGGTACGTGAAGCAGTTCCCCGAGGACGGCTCCATGTGCACGGTGCCCACCGAGGAGACGGAGAAGTGCACGGTCAACGAGGAGTGCTGTGAGTGGGGCGCCGGGCGGGGGGGGCTCGGGGCTCCCAGGCAGCCGAGGTGACTCCGAGGTCGCGGGACTCCCCAGCTCCCAGCAGCTGCCTGATGACCGAGTGGGGCGAGTGGGACGAGTGCAGTGCCACCTGCGGGATGGGCATGAAGAAGCGGCACCGCATGGTCAAGATGGGCCCGGCTGACGGCTCCATGTGCAAGGCGGAGACTTCTCAGGCGGAGAAGTGCATGATGCCGGAGTGCCGTGAGTGGGCGCGGGAGGCTGGGGAGGGCACGGGGACAGGGACAGGGACCGTATGGAGGACCACCTCCGGCAAGGTCAGACATTGGGCAGGTGCAGGGGGAAATGTGGTCCACCGTCCTTATAGGGCGCTGCTGGGATCAAGATGAGGGCCATAGTTGTGTGGACATCAACCAGACCCAGAGGGACTGGCTTCCTTGAAGGACATTCTGAGCAATGCTGGGGTGGCAAATTGGTGACTTCTGGATAGAATTCACCTGCACCTATGTTTAGAGGACCCCAGAGTGTCTTTGTGAGGGTAATAATACATTTAGATGGGATGTACATTCCCCCAGTCGTCCTAGGCCTCCCCACTCCTTTACGTTGAATTTGCCTGGCCCCGTAAAGCATTATAAACCCTGCTCTGTACACAGATGCACAGGGGCTCACACATCAGTACACGTATGTACACATGCACACAGCACATACACATTCTAGGGGTTTCAGCACGTGCTCAAAAATGCAGTGTGTTGATCTTTTAGTGTACGGTTCCTGGGGTGTGTGGGATGTTTCTGTCTCTAGTCAGACCCTAGTCAGACCCTTAGTGGTGTTTCAAGTGGGGACTTATGTATTCATATAACTTGTGTGTTCACTGTCACGTGATGTCATGTCAGCCTCCAGCAGGGCCAGAGGAGTCGCAGGAGAGTGACAAGAAGAGCAGTAGTCCGCTGAGCCGCTTCTTGCCCCATGGGGTTTTACTCACGTATCTGAACCCATCAGCCAACTTCACTTTACTCCAGGGGCCAGAGTGCAAAACAGGGGGTGGGGGGCACCGAGGTCAAAGAAAGCAAAGGGGGCTTACTCTTAGTGGCAAATCTGGTTCTCGGCCTAGACACCATCCCATGCTTGCTGTCCCCATGGTCTGAGTGGAGTGACTGCAGTGTGACCTGTGGGAAGGGCATGCGGACCCGCCAGCGGATGCTCAAGTCTCTGGCCGAGCTCGGGGACTGCAATGAGGAGCTGGAGCAGGTGGAGAAGTGCATGCTGCCCGAATGCCGTAAGTCCTGGAGCTCCGGAAAACCCACCACTGTCCTCTTTTAACCAGCCCTGTGCGGGATCACACTCAGGTCATAATGACCAACCATTTGCTGGGGAGGGAGGAAGAGCATGGATTTGGACCTCTGTCTTAGCAAAGTAACTTAAACTCTCAATCTCCTCATTCATAATGAGGATCCCTCTACCATCCACAAAGCACACAAGCTGCAAGTTGCTAAGGAGTCTAAACAGGAGACTTCGATGAAAAACACTTCGAACAAGGCTCTGTAACCTTACTTCTCAGTGCTTTC